CACTGAGGAGATGTCTGCGAAGCATGGCCAACATCCTGAAGCCAGTTTGAATACAGAATCGAATTCCCTTCATCATTTTTTACAGTCCACAAATTGTTTAGGCTAAAATGACTGAAGCACTTTTGGACGCTTTCCCACGGTCACGGCCTTTTGCTAACAGAAAAAACTCGATGGATCTGGTTAAATGATTCGATAACCTCGCTGTTCAATAGATGGTCCTCGGTCTGTCAACGGCAGCCTGCCCCTTCCGTTTGCAAAAAACAGTTAGCCTTCCCAGTCGAGTGTTCGCTCTCAGATGGCCATGTTTCGAATCTGGTCGAGAACAGCTACAATGACGATGCCTGGAAGAATGTCTGTTTCTGATCATTTTACTGCGAATCATGTATTTTCAGTCGATATCGAGAACTTATGAAAGCAGATGAAGACAGACTCGTAAAGAAATTTAAAAACATAGTACAAGCAGAGAATAAAATATATGCACATCAAACATGAACATTAAATAATCATAATATACGGTAATTACATGTCGAACATACTCATGCGATAGCAGGCGACGACACCTGCAGATGGCTGCTACATACGAAAGCAAACCTACATCTAGATGGCGCTCACAAAAACCAGGCATGCTCACGAAACCTGAAAACGCGATCAGCTCATCTTACGGGGGTCCTTGCAGAACTGAAATACCAACAGCACAACGCCGGAAATGGACGCTGTCGCAAACGTGTCACCCTTATCGTCTGAAAGTGAAATTCGCCTAATCAAAATCATGACATGCACTGTTGTACCGACTTGCGAGCACGAACGGCAGCAGAATGTTACACAGCAAACGTAGTATGTCCGGTTGTAGTTCGATGGGGTAAAAAGTCAATAGGCTGGCGACAGTGAACGGCAGTTGCTCGGCTAATTCTGTCTCCAGAAACAAGTACAGGCAATGAACTGTGTTCAGAATCGCACATCCGAGAGCTATAACGTGATAGTTAATGCCCTGTATTATCTTAAATCAAGTATGAACAGTAGTGTAGATTCGCTCTTGTTTAAGTAAGAATTACCCTAATGATGATGGACTGCGACATCGAGTGGGGAGTAAATAAAGGAATCTGCGTGTATTACAGTTTCATAGTGAATCATGTATATAAACATGCGTGAATAAAATAACAGCACATATATAATCATACCATACATATCATGTAATACAAATGATGCATAACGATAAACAGTAATTTTACGTAATCGAACAATCATATGGATATTTTAAAAGCTGAAAATAATTAGACCATTTTAGTCAGAGAACATTTGTTTAGACAAACTGCTTAGTATATACGCCCTCAAGATAATATCTCGGTTAATATTCGTCTTGGAATAATTGCTGCATACTGCATTTAGTAAGGAAATAGTGAACAGCTATAGTGCTTCATCTAAGATTTGCTTGCCTTTGATTCTTTTATCTTCCATATTTCGCATTGCCTCTTAAAGTGTCATAAGTGTCCCCTTTTAAAGCAGTTCCACCGAAAATTTGCAACCCATTTTAACCTTAAGCTGCACTGATGAATACGTTGGTTCACGAGAGTTCTTTTCCTCGGTATGCATACCGCTTGTACCTCGTCGTCGAACAAAGTTTCTGCTGCTATTTCGTCAGACATGCTTATGGAATATGGCTTCAGTTTATGAAAGAGAAACGTCAGATTCAATCAACTTACTATCTGGAGCTGAAAGCCGTTTTCGGTTAAAAACTTAAAAATTAATACATACGTACAATTCAGTTTGCGACAAGACTGCAGCGTTAGTAGGCCAAGACGCGAATTCCGATAATACGATACAATATAATGTTAAAAATACTTAACATGTCCAGATATTCACACTGAATCATAAAATTAATAGATGAATTATGAATTTAACAAGTGATGATTCAAAGACTCTAAACAGCAAACGCAAAAGGCAACAAGAAACCGATATTAACCGATTTTTATTAGAACAGCCAACGTTTCAGCCAAACAACATTGACCACACTCAGGGCAAACAGTCATGAAATTAAGCAGAGCTGCAAACATGTAGAGAATCGAATCATTCCACAATCCGTAAACCTGAGACCTGGCAGATCTCAGACATAGTGACATGCTCCCTTAACGCTACAAGCGAAAACAGCGGGTGAAATATTCCCAATGACTATTACAAGTTAAACTAAACGAAATACATGAAAAACGAACGGGCCTTAAAACATGAAGTTTCCTAATTTTAAACAAAATCGGCAGGAAAGACTTTATTATGACTTTAGTCAACTTTTGTGACAATAAAATATCCTTTCTCGTCAAGACCAACACATCAACACTTAACAACGCTTAATTTACGTTATCAGATGCACATCGGTTATCAAAGCCGCTTAGTTTAAAACGATTACAATTCATATGTAAAGACACTCAATGTGCTTTCTGGAGTGCAACTGAGGCATATAGACAAATGTGTCTCCGAGAAAAACTGACGACAGAAGGCAGGAGTTACTTGGAAAATAACATATAAATCGTTCAGACAAAATGAGTAATATGGAAGCTAAACCGACGCGTAATTAAGAAGAAACAGCATAACAGTAATACGAGGCTTTTCACCTCTAAAGTGTCTACGCCCACCCTCACCTGCGATGGAATACTGTCTGAAAGAGTGTGATCCCGTATTTAGACCAGAAATTCTTAATAACATGGCAATCTCTGAATCCAATCCTGCTGTAGATTACGAAATTACGAATGCAGCTAGATACATGAGAGACGTTCAAAAAACAAATGTTTCACAGGCCTGATGGCAAGAACGCAACGAACGTTTCATACTGTCGTACTTTAGTATGTAGCTCATAGGAATTAATATGTGAATCAGAACGATGGAAACTGAACAGATCAGTTGACGATGTTGTACCTGCAACAAAAAACAAATAACATTAAAAATGAACAAGGAACGAAAAAATTGGGTGAATGAATGAATGAACGACTCAGCGGAAGACGAATGACAGACGAATTATGAAAGAGGGAATGACCAAATTGATGGATGGGTGACGAAATGAATGTTCGAGTGCCTGACGAATGAATCAGTGAATCGACGAAAGGACAGGTGGTAGATAAAGAGACAAATGAACGAATGAATGAATCAGTCAGTAAAGGGTTGCATGAATGAATAGATGGATGGATAAATGAATGACTGAGTCAGTGAGTGAAAGTAAACGTATGCACATATGAATTAGTCAATGAACGAACAATGGAAGCGAAGAATGACCGATTTCACTGAGCTAAGGTGGTAACTATGCTGGTAATACGAGAGAAAATACCAAAGTTGAAGGCAAGTTGTTTTAAAATTAAATTTTCAGAATCAGAATGTCGATGAAGCGTTTATCCAACGAATAAAAAAACACCAATGAAGATATGTAAAAAGTGCAGTAACCGGTTATAACAGGAAAGCGTACCGATTTGTCCGGTGGTGATGAACGGATAAATATCGATCACGTTTATCAGTGCGTGGTAGAGACCGGCGTAGTTTAGATTTGGAAACAATGCAGCCCGCGAAGCTTCACCTTTTTCGGATACGCAAGTTTCCAAAGAGTCTATGTTCGCATCTCGCAGCAGCCTACAACCAAATAAAAAAGTGATTAAGCGGGCGAGTAGCAGAGAGCCGACCACACGGGTGATCGGCAGACAAATACCCGAGCAGCGTCTGCTGAAAATAGCGCAGTGTATTGACAATGTCCAAACCGGATGGCAAATGCTGGCCGGTGGTGATCTGCTGGTAGAACTCGTTCAAGTTGCGGATCTTGGCCGAAACTGAAAACAGGACAACAAATCAATTAACGCTAGTGTAAAGCAGCATTAACTTTACAATGTAAACAATTGACTTGTAAGACCATCGATCACAAACAAACAACATGAGGTGCACGCTACAGCTACCAAAAAATCCAAGACTAGCATAACTGTGACTGGTGCCACACACTGAAACATCGGCACAGATTTACGCAATTGAAAAATACATCGATCCTATTCATGCTTTGCGCTAGTGTAGTATAGTTAATTGTTGTCTATTCGCAATACCAGTATAGCAGGTCGATTAGTAAATAACTGCTTACAAAGATAATGCTTTAACAGGTAAGCCATGAGTACATACGAAACCGATTTCGGCCTGAAACGACAAGCTTGCTTTATGGAGCCAATGATGCGACTCTGCGCATGAATCGGTCGAAGGCGACTTTAAATTGACACAACTAATTACATTTGCAATCAAGCTGCATGAACTGCCAAAATAATGACCAGAGGGACGAGAAACTCGTCTTCGAGTTTGACTCGTTCCCAGTGCTGGATGTAAAAAAGACTAAGTCTCTAAGTCTAAAATTAGATTTAGAAAGATATTAATTTAAAAAACCAAAAACCAAAGATTAAACCAGCGATGAACCCCGTTTAACTATGCATGTAATCCACACGATAAAGAAATGACAGTCATAATAGTGCATGGAAATTCACCCACTATAAAGTCTACAGGCACTGCTAAAGGTGGATCCAAGAATCAGTTAGTTCAAGTTCATCGAACACTTTGCAGAAATGCATTGTAATTCATTCTATGGAACTATCCATTCAGTAAACTTGCTAAACTGCTGTTTCACAGTTTAAACATGAAAATAAGGACTGTGAAAATAAAACAGGTGACTTATGTCAGTCCTACGCTAAACATAAATGGCCATAAATAGCAGCATGGTAATGGACAAAATGTTTTAAGAATTTTCCAGAACAGTTTTCGATTCGCCTGGGCTCCATGATTAAGTGACCAACGGACTATTTTTTAATAAATGATCAGAAAACACAGATGCGAAGACGGAGAGGTTTTATCAACACCTAATGAGTAAAACTCACTTCGAAAACAAATAATCAGGTTGTTAATGATAACAAATAAAGAAAGTTATTTAGTTAAATAACGTTGATAGAGTTAAATAACGTTGATAAGAAAGTTGATATTTAAAAACCTAAGAAAAGTACATATTTATTAATTGCAGCTTTCTGAACCTAAAACGATGTACTTTTGTGTATTCAAAATTGGAACTCCGTAGAGGGTTTCGACACTTCACGTAATAAATGTCTTATGCCTCGGTAAAACTCGTTTGAAAAAATTCACAGGCCGATACTCCTTACGTGCGTAATCAGCAGCAGCCGCCCATAGCATACTTGCTTATAATACCGATACCATGGATTAGAATTACAGTATGCGTATACTATTATACTGCACGGTATGATAAACCATAGTAGTTTAATAAATACCACAGTACAATAATTTGCTTCCCATTAATTTAATCAAACGATTGCATGCCAAAATCTTAGTAACTGTTTTAATCATGTGTGACTTCCGCGGGAATGGACCCGAATTACAATACTACTTAGTATTAACGTACGTACCAAATATGAAAATATAACACAGTCAGCATAAAAATCAAATATTTATTTTGCACAGACTGGACTTCTAGAACGATATTGCTTTATCTCGGTGAAAACAATAATAAGGACAAAGTGGGCAAGATGAATAATCCATAAAATCGGTAATACAAATGGGCATACAACATATGGGCAATTCCAAAATGAACCTCAGTATTAAGGGCTTGCTATCAAACTGCCAATTTTCAACATCACCGGTACGAATAACAATCTAGTATCACGTTGTTTTTCGTACGGCATAGTCGCATCATTCTCTTCTATCCAGTAGTCCAGGGCGCCGTTGAGGCAAGAAACGACTCCAATGTATTCTAGTAACCAAAAAGTGGTGCTACTTTGC